GTTCCTGGCTTTTATCCCCTTTCTCCTGCTCTTCTGGCCTGCTACTCTGGGCGGGGCTGGGTTTCCTCTCCTCACCTAATCCCTTCGGCTGATTGCTCTTCTCTCTGGCTTCCTGGCTTTTAATCCCCTTTCTCCTGCTCTTCCCGCCTGCTACTTTGGGTGTCCCTGAATTGTCTCTCCTCACCTGTAACCCTGGGGCGGACTAAGTTGATACATGTATTAACTAGTTAAATGTTTACAACTGTATGAGATAGGCAGTATTATTATTTCCTATATTATACATTAATAAACCAAACACAAGGAAGTCAAGTGATTTACTAGGATGACGGAGTTGATACTTTGAAATAGTATGGTGTACTATTTCCCACCCTTTTGCTCTTTTGCCTGTATAGTCAATGTCTGTATTAAATGAGTAATAGCAAATTGGAACTTTAAAGCATTATAACATGGGGGCTAGGTTGGCTAATGAATTATGTAACAGTTAATTCTCATAAAGTGAGGATTGAAATTTATGAGACTACCTAAATACTTATGGCTATTACTAATAATATAAAGCTAAAGGTCTGTTGAGATTCATTCTTAGCTTACACTTCGATAAATTTTTAAAAAAATAACTCAATTTTTTTTTAAGAAAGGTAGTTTGGGGCTGTGGGGTAGAAAGGAATAAGGTAAATATGCTGAAATAGTACTGGTAAAGGACTTAGTTCTTAAAAGACCCCTGTGGGGTCATTACTCCATACCATGATAAGGAGATGGAATGAACAGAAAGGCAAGATACCTAGAACAACAGTGATGGACCAAGAAAGAGCTTAGGGTCACTAGTGCAGACAGGGTTGTTATCTGTGCCCTTCTCTATTATAAATCCTGGTAGTTTCCAATCTATGTCCTTCAGTCAAAGAAGCCACTGAAAATATATTCTGTTCTACCTCTGCGTATGCTTCCTGAGAACTATCATCCTAACGTTTCCATTCATTTAAGTGAATTCTTGGGAAAGTTGCTTAATTTACAAACTTTTACATAATTCACTTTTAGTTAGAAAGAATGCAGTCCTAACCAATACAATTTACAACATCTTCTTACCTTTTTCTGCTGGGCTCAACACTGTCACTGTGAAAAGACAGAAAGGTAAACATTAGTGATATTTAAAAATCTATTTTTCTAATACATTTTTCCAATAGGATCACTTTTGAGCAAACTATTCAATAGTACTTTAGTAAATCACCAGTGTGTTAAGATGAGGGAAGGAAAAATGATTTATTTCCATCCTTTGCTATCTTCCTTCATTTTAAACCTTAGTAATTAAGAACTTCCAGTCACTCAACAAAAACAAGAATAACCTGGTTTTTAAAAAACTCAACAAATGGAAACATTCAAGCTATAGAACATGACACTAAGAACTTTAAAAGCTGGTAAGTTAGGAGATGATTATTTACCTTACCAAAATATTCACTGTAGGATGATTCTAAATACTAATACCAAGCTTCCCTTGCATATTTAGAGTAAATATAGTATGGAGGTTGTGTACCTGCTCTGGAGTCAGACTGTTTGGGCTGGAATTTCTATTCCACTATTTTGTGGCCCAGTCCAGCTCCTTAATTTCCCTAACAGTACCTACCTAACAAGGTTACTTGAGAATTAATGCATTAATGAATGTAAATGCTACTTAACATAGTATCTGACAAAAGACAAATATTTGGTGAATGTTAGTTATTATTTTATTTTAATAAGATTTCATGGAATATCAGTACTGGTAGGGACTTTAGCAATTATCTGTTTTGTCTGCCTCATTTTAAAGATGGCAAAACAGATTACAGTAGCAGCAAATTATATATGCCATTAATTCAAGTCCATTGTAAGTCCCAAGGTCAGAAGAGCATGGCAGGCTGCTGAACAATGACTCAGCTACATGCAGGGTTCAAGCGTGCCATAAGCTAGAGACCATTCCCAAAGCTGTTTCTTATATATGGGAAGCAGACCACATCCCCAAAGCAGCTACTCAGCTGCTCCAGTACATTCCACCATGGAGTTAATTACCAATCTCATCATGGGGAATAACTACCTCCAGCTGCCCAGCCATTCATCCAGGCCCAGCCAAGTTGACACACAAAATAACCACCAGAATCTTTAAACCTTAAACAAACAAAAAATCCCCTAAATTCTTCTTAAAATCAACAAGAGTTTAGCTTAACTAGTGAAGAATGTCTACTTTGAGGATTTTCCCTTTTAAGAACTATCTATATGGGATGGCGTAGTGCCTAAGGCATTTGACTGCAAACCAGAAGGCTGGAGGTTCAAACCCACCAGCCTCTCCTTGAAAGGAAGATTGGGCAATCTACTTCCGTAGTGATATTGCCTCAGAAACCCAAGGAGCAGTCTCTATGACTCAGATCTGACTCGACGGCAGTGTATTTGGACTTTTTTTTTTTTTTGTATAGGGAATCTAATGGAAAACAGAAACTTGAAAGATTAGATAGGAAATTTATGGGGCAATATGTTCATTGTTATTTGGAAAAGGAGTGTGAGAATGGTTGTACAACCTAAAGACTGTAATCAATGTCACTGAATTGCACGTGTAGAAATTGTTGTATTGGTGTATGTTCTACTATATATATTCTCAACTACAACAAAAAATAAAATAAATTTTGAAATGTTATAAAAATGAAAATGAAAAGATGGAATGAGAAAGCCGAATTACTTGAAGATCAGTCTTAACGAAGAGTAGGTGATAAATTGCTTTTTGCCATATTTCCTCCCTCTGGCTAAACAATGAGTGGAGGTCCTAAACTGCCATTACTTGGGACCGTACTAATGGTGAGGAAAGAAAATCACCTGGTGCTTGCAGATGTTGGGATGCAACACTGATTATACAGAAGAATAAGTGGGAACCCAGGAAGTCTCCAGGTAGGGGACCACTCTCTTTATGTAATTGTAAGATGATCATATGAAAGTAGGATTGGTGTATATGATCTTAGAGTAAACCAAACCAAAACCAAACTGCCATTGAGTCATATCCAGCTATAGTGACCCCTCTTTGGGTTTCCGAGGTGGTATCTCTACAGAAGTAGATTGCCCAATCTTCCTCCAGAGGAGTGGCTGGTGGACTTGAACCACCAGTCTTCTGGTTACTAGTCAAGTGCCTTACGTACTACGCTACCAGAGCTCCCAAAAACAATTGTAGAATTT